AGGAGGAGGCAAACGTCCTGACTTGCAGCCAGCTGCCCACAGGCCAGCGCGGGCTCTGGGAACAGGAGTGAGCAGCAGACACGTGCCAGGCAGGGAACCCGCCCGCCCAGCAAGGTCAAAGGGAGGGCAAGCAGGCAGCACAGAAGTGCACCTGGCAGGGCCAAGCCAGGGCAGAGGAAAAGTCCTCGGGAACCCCAATTCTTCCCCTGCAGCCTCACAAGGGCAGGCACTTCCCACCCGTGCTCCGGCGGCGGAACCCTGCACTTCCTGGCCGTACCCACCCCAGACCCTCCCTCGGTGCCAGTGGCGCTCAGGCCGGGAGAGAAAGGCAGGAGGCCTCAGCCGGGAAGACAGACAGGGCCAAGCCAGGGCAGAGGAAAAGTCCTCGGGAACCCCAATTCTTCCCCTGCAGCCTCACAAGGGCAGGCACTTCCCACCCGTGCTCCGGCGGCGGAACCCTGCACTTCCTGGCCGTACCCACCCCAGACCCTCCCTCGGTGCCAGTGGCGCTCAGGCCGGGAGAGAAAGGCAGGAGGCCTCAGCCGGGAAGACAGACTCCCAGGTGGAGAGGAAGCTGCTAACCGAGCAGGCGGCACCAGAGGCCTAGTGCCTGCAAGCGCGCACACACACACACACACGCACGCAGCCCGGTCTGGGCCCGCTGGGGTTCGCCATCCCCTCTCGCGGGCGGGGCCGCTGAGCGCACAGACAGACCAAGGCCTGTGCTGCATCATGCTGCGGACCACAGGCTCTCGTGACGCCTGATCTGGGACAGACTGTGAGCCTGGCTACCGCAGGGCGGGGAGGCAGCGTCAGCAGGGACAAGCGCACACACCCCTCACTGGGGCAGCTGCTTCTGCAGGGAACAACGCCAGCAAACCGTGGGAACGTCACAGGCGAGGGGCCGCAGCCTCCGCGAACGTTGCTCCACCAGTGCGCAGGCCTCAGGCACGGGCAGACGACAGGATGTCGGGGAGATGAACCGCCGGGCTGACTCACTGTGGCCGGGTTAGCTTTCTGGCCACAGCATCACACCGGAAGTTCATCTTCAGACTGACAAAGATTTGGGGGTCCTGGTGGACAGTCACTGCTCCCAGGAGAGAGCCCCCCGCCCCGGCAGGCACGGCTGTTCGAGATTCCTATTTCGCCTATGGCAACACAGACTGTGCTTGCATCCAGCTGCCAAGCGGCCCGGACTGTTCTGTGCCAGTGGCCTGGCCTCTTGGCGACGTACCTCTCGGCCCACGGGGGATCCTCTGGGCATTTAGCAGTGATGGTTTCATGGCTTCTTCCAGGGGAACTGACAAAACCGTTAAACAGCCTGGGGCCAAGAACTGTGACCACACCTGCAGCCTGGCAAGCCAGGTCAGTCTCAGAAGATCACACTCAGCCAGGCCCTGGCTTGCCGGGAGCCTTGTGAATTTTCTAGCACTCCGAGCTTTCCCACCAGAAGGCCGGGAGGTGCCAAGTCAAACACCTCACCGAGATCAACGTGTCTCCATCAGCCAAACGGGTCACCTCATCGAAACAGGAGAGCGAGCGAGACTGGTGTCTATGAGCATTAATTACAGCACGCGCCTGTAGCTGGCTGTCAATCAAGTCTCACACTGGCTGCTCCAGTCTCTCGGCCAAGCTCGACCTCACGCTGACAGGTCTATTCTCCTGTTTCCTCTCTCTGAAAGCTGGCCGAGCATCGGCGCCCTTCCCGCACCCTGCTACCGGCACCGTTCTGGGTGCTCGTGCCGAGAAGAGCTGCTTTCAGCTGGGTTAAGCAACATGAGGCTGAAAACTCCCAGACCTGGTGCCCTTGAGCCCTCCCTACACTGACCTTCCTGCCGCCACCCCAACAGGACAAGCGTGGGAAGTCTAGCCTCTCTGAAAGCTGGCCGAGCATCGGCGCCCTTCCCGCACCCTGCTACCGGCACCGTTCTGGGTGCTCGTGCCGAGAAGAGCTGCTTTCAGCTGGGTTAAGCAACATGAGGCTGAAAACTCCCAGACCTGGTGCCCTTGAGCCCTCCCTACACTGACCTTCCTGCCGCCACCCCAACAGGACAAGCGTGGGAAGTCTAGCAAACCCCCCTGCATACAGAGTTTCCATGCAAGAGAAAGTCAGCCCTCCTCCCAACACAGCAGCGGGGGCGGGGTCCCTGGCGGACACACAAACAGCTGCATGGGGGGCTCCAGTCCAGCCCTAGCGGTCCCAGCCTGGCCAGGCCCGCCCCGCCCCGCCGCAGGCAGGGTGACGCTCCCCCTG